ATACTGAAGCTCAGAGAGGAGCTACAGCCATGCAGTTCTTCACCACAACCGCCTCAACACAATACCCCACTGAACCTTCACAACAACCCCAGTGGCTCCCAGCATCCTCATTTCACAGGCAGGCTGAGTGAGGCTAGCAAGGGGAAGGGACTTGTCTAGGGTCAGAGCAGAATGTAGCAGCAGTGTGGCCCAATGTGGAACAAGAGGCTGGCTGAGGGCCAGGCTCAGGTGGCTCATGCCTGTAATCCTAGCACTCTGGGAGGCCAAGGCGGGTGGATTGCCTGAGTTTACAGGTTTAAGACCAGCCTGAGCAAGAGGGAGACCTCGTCTCTAAAAATAGCCTTGGGGCACCTATAGTCCCAACTACTTGGGAGGCTGAGGCAAGAGAATCGCTTGAGCCCAAGAGCTTGAGATTGCTATGAACTATGACGCCATGGCCTTCTATCGAGGGCGACAAAGTGAGACTCTGTCTAAATAAATAAATAAATAAATAAATAAAAGAGGCTGGATGAGAGAGGTGGTGGGTGAGGCTGAAGCACTGGGGAAAGGGATGGGATTAAAGACTAGCCTAGAAGGGAGATTTGGTTTCCCTTTTGAAGAGATTTCCCCTGAGTGGGGGATTTTGGTTGGAAAGTTGTAAATAATCCACATTCCACTGGTGTGGCCACTCCTTCCCCTAAAGGCACCCAGGATCTAAACAGAAACTGAAAGTTAGGAAGAGGGAGAGGTGGAGGGGAGGTTCTGGGCAGATAAATTGGGTTGAATTTCTGGTGACCTCATCATCTTGGGGGAAGTGAGCTGGGATTAAAGGCCTCCCGGCTTGGGGAAAAACTGAGCCCCAGAGAGACAGCTCTATCAGACAGTAACCAGGCCCCATCAGTTTATGAAACCAACACGCACAACACAAACACACAGGAAGGGAGAGATGAAAGTAATGGCACCCCAAAATTCTGAAAAGGAACTTTCAGAATCCCTGTCCTTGTGATTTGGTGACTGTTTGGATGGTGGGTCCTGGTTAAGAGCCTCTGATGTAACCCAGTGTATTTTCTGGGGTTCAGGGACCCTAAGTGGCAGGGACCTGGGTCCTGCTGACAACCAAGCCATAACCCAGCAAGTGAGGCCCATAAGAGAAGAGGTGCTGGTTCTGGGGAGTCCAGCCCCTGGGGGTCTGGGCACTGCAGCTGCTGTGCCGGTCCTTGCCAACACCCTGGACTGCTCTCCTCAGCCCGGAGCATCAGGCCCTCTCAGATGCTTGAGCTGAGCCTAGCACCACACACTCCTCAGAGCCGTGGAGGACCACCTTCTACTAGCCCTGAGCTCCTTTCCTATTGCTGGGCTTCCATCTCCTCTTCTGGGAATGGCAACAATGGTGTACACATTTCACCAGGTCACGGGGAATGTATGGAAAGCAGTTGGCACAGGGCTTGGCATACAGCAAGCACACAATGAGCCAATCAATCCTGGCAGCTTTGATTATTCTTACCATTTTCCTTTCCTGCCTTTTTAAAACTCTCCCCCGCGGTCAGGAATCCTCGTGATTTTGTATTCCAGGGTTTTTCCTGCCCCAGTGTGCTGGCTCCTTCCTGGGCCCTCTCCTGTTGCCGACTCCAGCAACGCCCTGGCACTTCCTGTGTGTCCTCACGCCCTGCTTGGCTCTTATTGGCATTGACCAGGGGTCCAGATTTCTGGGGGTCAGTCTTTCTGTCCATTGTCCCTGTGAGGTAACTAGTCAGAGTTTGGGCCCTGGCCTTGGAAATGTGATCGCAATCTGTGTGCTGAAGCATGTAGATTTCAGGCTATCCCGAGAGGTACCCCTGGACACTCCCTGGGCACTTCATAGTCAGCAAGGCTAGATTCAGCACCTGCCTCCCCCATTCTCTTTCCCTCTGATGCCCTGTCTCAGTCAATGGAGCCACCCCAAACAGAAAAGTGGGTGACAGTGCACTCCTCTGTCCTTGCCCTCAGCCACTTACCACATCCCAGGTTCCATCTCTCAAGCCTTGCTCCTATTGAGGCCTCTTGCCCCATCCCCACCCTTACAGAGACCATTCACAGCTCCCACCCGCTGCTCTGAGCCCTTCAGAGCTCCTCCAGGCAGCCCACAGGCCTCTCAGCTAACCCTGCTCTGGCACTCTCTTCTCCACTTAAGGCAAGGCCTGTCTCTTCCCAGATGGGAAGCCCCAGAGGGCAGGACCCTGCATGACTCACCACCTACCCTGATCTAGCGTAAGCATGAACAAAAAGAGAAACTCCAGAAAGTCTGTGTGACTGTGAGTCATGGGTCCCAATGGCTCACTATACAGGTAAGCAAACTGAGGCCCAGGAGGAGAGAGGATGGCTCATTGTGACAGTGGGAGGAGGCAGACCTGGAGCTAGAACTAAGGTCGCTGGGTCCAGCTGATGATCTCCAGAAGGAGTGGGGACCCTGGGGGCTGTGCCAAGTCCCCATTCCCAGAGTCTCCCCTGGGACCTCCCCATTCTCTGATGTCACTTCCTTCCTCAAAGCCTTTACATATGCTGGTCCCTCCATTAAACATCCCTTCACCTGTGGCTAGATAATGCCCACTTGCCCTGTACCTAGCAGGGTTCCTGGGGCCACAGAAGCCTCAAAGTGTTGCCCCAAACTCCTGTATGGGGCATTGTTTTCTTCTGCCCTCCTCTCACCTTCAGCCCTGCCCTGTGTCTCTCCAGAGGCCCCAGATTTCCTGCCAGGGATGTTCTGAGCCTTACTGGGGGCTGGCAGCATCTCAGGCCAGATCCAAGGTCTGAGCCTTTACCAGAAGGACTGGGACAGATTGGGGCATCTCTGTTCTCTGCAGCCTTCCTTCTTCCACTCATCCTTCCCATTCCTGCTTTTCCTATCACTGCATCCTGGCAAAAGCCCACACCTCTAAGGTCTGACACTACACTCAGTGACTCAGGAGGTACACACAGCCCCTCATAGGCGCACACACAAACACCAGGAGCTACTCTTCATCCACACACTCATAGATGTTTTCTCACACAGTCATACTCCAATTCATACCCAGTCACAGTCAGACACAGTCACCAACACAGTCTCAAGGATAGCTAGGAACATGACCCATCCAGAAAGTCTCAAGTCACCAGGAGTCACTAGAGCTCTCTCTCTTTCTCACCCTTGGACACACAGAGCCAAATAAAGATGCAGATTCACAACCACAAATGTACATACCTGGTCACACAGTTGCAAAGTCTCACGCACAGACAGGCACAGAGTAATACACAATCACACACAGAAACAGACACACACAGTTGCACACAGGCTCCCTGAGTTGTAGAACAATGGGTGCATTGTCTGGGTTGGCAGCAGCTGCAGAGGAAGGAGCCACAGTGTGGACAGAGGAGGCTAAGGGGGCTGCTGTCCCCTCCCACTCCCACCCCAACCATCTCAAGCCTCTTCCCTCTTAGATTCTGCTGGGCCTGGGTTTGCTGAGGGCTTGGGCTCCCAGGCACCCCCTCCCCAGCCTCCTAGGGTGTATGGTAGGGATGCAAGACCTCCCCTATGGGCCAGGGTCCCTCTGGAGCTCTAGAGACTTCAGGTCTTTTGGCCCAGAGGCTCCTCCCTCCTTCTGGGATCCTTGGGGAGATTTGCTTCTCACCCCACAAGGCTGCGCCTGGGGTCAGGAGACTTAAGGATCTGCTCTGACCTCTAACCTCAACCCCTCCAGGACTCACACACTCTGCATCTGAGCCCTGCCAGCTGGTGCAGGCAGCGCCTGGCAGCATTGTGGGTTCCCTATTGTGGTTGAGACAGAGAACAGGTCACGATGTCTATTCTTAGTGGTAAGGAAGGGAAGAGTCACTGTACTGTTAGAGAGTTGCAGGGGGCATGATGCCTCTCCCTAGGGCCCATGTTGCCCCCACTGCAGGGGCACAATGGGAACACCATGCCTCCCCATTCCAAAGCTTGTTCTTGCCTCCCATGCTGACCAAGGAACATCAGATCTCAATAGGAAATTCTTCCAGGGGGTTCCTTGTAGCCCTCAGTCGCCCCCCCCCCCATTTTTTGGAGACAGTTTCACTCTATTGCTCAGGTTGGAGTGCCATGGTGTCATCATAGCTCACTGCAGCCTCTAACTCCTGAGCTCAAGTGATCCTCCTGCCTCAGCCCCTGGAGTGTACCACCACACATGGCTAATTTAAAAAAATTTTGTTTTCGTAGAGACCAGGGTCTCACTATGTTGTCCAGGCTTGTCTCAAACTCCTGGGTCCAAGCGATCCTTCCGCTTTGACCTCCTAAAGTGCTGAGATTATAGGTGTGACCCACTGAGGCCAGCGGGCCAGCCCACCCAGCCCATTTTATCAAATCTCTCCAAATTCTCTCTCATCCTTAGCTGCTATGTGCCCTTGGGCATACCACTTTCCTTTTCTGAACTTCAGTGTCCCAATCTATAAACTGGGAGGGTGGTGCTAGTGAAGCTGAGGGCATTCAGTAGTCTCAGCATAGGCATAGAAGATACAGGAGTTAAGTACAGAACACAGAAACCACCTCAGCCCTCCCCAATCCCTCTGTGGTCAGATCTGTGGGGAGTTCCCAATTTCTCAGGCCTTGGGGTGTCTCCATACTTCACAGCCTCAGGCCTCCCTAGAGGTTTTACCCGTAGGAGTGAGAGTGGGAGGGAGGGACATGCTGAGCTGGACCAGGCACAGCCTTGCTTTTGCAATATTCTGCTTCTTCCAGCCCCCATCCCTTTTTTCCTGGGGGCTGAGGGCAGGCAATGGGACACACACATCTGGGGCAGTCAGAACTCTGAGTTCCCATCAGTCTATCCAGGTCAGAAGAAGTACCAGAGGACCAGATTCCAGAGAGTCTTTGGCCACCCCCATCCTGCCTCTAGGTTCTGGTGCTCTCCGGCAGGGCAGAGGCTGGGCTGAAACAGCCTAGGGAGCTGTCCTCAAGGGGCTGACCCATCCCTTCTCTGCAGAAACTGGAGTATTCTGAGGTTTGTTGAGTCCCTGGCTGGGGTTCCTCTGCCAGTATGGGGAGCCATGATGTAGGGGAGCAGATCTGTGTGTGGGTAGGGGAAGCAGCAGACCGGAGTCCGTTAGATCATGTCAACCTCACTTAGCCTCAGGGACCTCAGCGTTTAAACTGGGATGGAGATGCCCTTCAATGTCGCAGAAACTCTCTGGCGGGACTCTATTGTGTCTAGGCTGAGGGCAGGAGGGGCTGGAGGTGAATTTGTCTGTCCAGGCTCAGAATGACTGGCCATCAAGGAACTGAGAGGAGGAATGAGGGACTGGCCTCACCAGTCGGAACAGAGTGACCCCGAGGCGGGTCAGACCCCCCCGCCCCGAGACTGGCCGCGGCAGGCCCCCAGGCAGAGACGTGGGTAGGACATCTGACCGGTCTACAGTCCAGAGAAGGTGCCAGGCTCAGCCAGAGGGGTGGCGGCGGAGGGGGCTTGTAGCTTCTATGATGACATTTTCTGGAGCATAACTCAGGACCAGCCGTCTGACGAGTCCGGGCATGTGAGCCCTTCAAAGAGTTGAAGAGAGAGACTGACAGGGGCTCCGGTGCTGGACCAAGGAGATGTGGGCCACTGCACGGTGCGGGGGGGTTCTCACCCCTAGAGGTGGAAGGTGAGGGAGGGAACATCTGCTCTCTCCTCTTTCCTCTAGGCACCCCCTTCCCGCCCAGCGCTCAGGAGGACCGGCCTCTCTCTTTCCCACACTCGACACTCCCTGATAGTCGAGTGAAGGGGGAACCAGACCGCCAGCGTCGCCCACTGCACCAGTGGGGCCTACGACCCGACCCCGCCTCCGCCCCTCGATTGGGCGCTCATTTAAATGTCCGGCCCCGCCCCGGCTCAGGGCGCA